TCCTTTGTAGACGAACCAGGATGTAGAAATAACTTAACCGACAGCATTGCCAACTCTCTCACCTGTGCTAATCTATATACAATTACGTCAGGAATTGGTAACACTGATTCTCCCTCTCAAGAAAAAATTAACTATATAAATTTAACGTAGAATTTATATGGATTCGTATTAAAATTGGTAATTAACACGAGGTGATGATATTAACATTAGTAATTAAGAATGACTGAGAATTAACATGAAGTAATATTAACTTCAGTAATTAATAGTAAAGTAATTAACAAATTTAACCGCAGATAGTTAACACATAATAACAATATTAACATGAGTAATTTAATTTGGATTGGATAAAAAACACAACGTACGAATATTAACTTCAGTAATTAGTAAAAGCTAACAAATTTAACACAGGTAATTAGCACTAACAAAAAATATTAACATCACTAGTTAATAAGGACTAAGAAGATTAACTTTAATAACCAATACGGACATAAATATTTAACCCAGGGAACTAACACACTAACAATATTAACATTACTATTGAATAAGAAGCAACAAAACTAACAATTAAGATCACTATGAACTAAACACTAAACGAAATTAAGGAACACTGAAGATTAACCCACCCTAATACTACCTGGGGTTAGGTTAGGTTAGGTTAGTTAGGTTAGGTTACGAACTCATACGCTCCTCTCTCACCTTCCTCCCTCCTTCTCTCGTTCTATCCGTCCTATCCTCCTCCCTCCCTCCTATCCTCCTCCCTCCCTCCTTTCTTCTCTTCCTCTATCCCTCCTCTCCGCCTCCGTCCCTCTCTCTCCCTCTTTCTCCTCCTCCTCAAAGTCCGTGAAGCCCCTCCCTAACGCTCGCCTGGCGAATCTAGGTCCCTCGCCTCGGAAAGTGAAAGATCCGATGCCCACGCGGTCCTCTGAGACACGCCACTCCGTTCCCTGACACTAAACGCCCCCCCGACCTGAATGTGAACGACTTCTTCCCTCTGATCTGAATGCGAACGACCCCCATGGACTTGAACCTAAACGACCCCCCAGGACCTGAACATGAACGACCCCCCCAAGACCTGAAACTAAACGACTCTCCTGATCTGAACATGAACGACCCCCCAGGACCTGAAACTAAACGACCTCCCCTGACCTGAACATGAACTACCCCTTGACCTGAACCTAAACGACCCCCACCCCTGGACCTAAAACTAAACGACCCCGCTGGACTTGAACGACTCCCAGTTCCCCTGACCCTACCACCCTCTACACATACTTCCACAACCTTATAGATCTCCCCTTACCTCTCGGTTAAGGGGAGAGGAGGAGGGGGGAGGTGGTTACGTCCAGGTAAGCTCTGTCCAGGTGAGTCATCCCTTGGTGTTACGTGTGTTATGTTGTGCTAAATGTGTTACGTCTGTGTTAGTATGTATCATGTACCTGTATATTATGTGTTATGTATGTATGTTTATGTGTGCTATGTGTTGATATTGATATTGTTGTGTGTGTTATGTGTGTGTTACAAGTGCTATGTGTGTATTATGTGTGTTATGTGCTATGTGTGTGTTATATGTGTTATGTGATATGTGTGTTTATGTCTATGTGAGCTATGTATGTGTTGTATATGTCATGTATGTGTTATATGTGTTATGTATGTGTGTAAGAATGGTTATGTATAGGTTTTAAATGTAATTTGTGTTATGTATATTAAGTATGCATTTTGTATGTACCTGTATATGTATTTTATATATGTCTACCTATCCAGTATACTTACCTACCTGTAACCTGTATATGTGTGTGTGTGTGTGTGTATCATTAAGTCTCTCTCTCTCTCTTTCTCTCCACTCTCTCTCCCAGCGCTCTCTCTCTTGCCTCATCTCCTCCCTTTCCACTCTCTCTTCTCGCTTTCCACTCTCTCTCCTTTTTTCACTCTCCCTCTCTCTCTCTCTCTTGTCTCCTCTCCCTTCCACCCACTCTCCCTCCTCTCCCTTTCCACCCACTCCCTTCTCTCCCTTTCTACCTCCTCTCCCCTTTCTTTTGTTGTCTTTGTCCTGCCGACCCTTTATGTCTGGTCTATTTTTCTCCTATCTTTCACATGGACTTTCCCTCCCACCTCCCCTTCCTTCCCTCTCCCCTAGCAGCGTCCTCTTTGACCTACATTTTAAGGGGTGTGAAGGGGGGTCCTGGTCCTGTTGAGCCGGATCTTACTTACATGTCTCCTCCCTTCCCTTCTCACCTCTCACCCCTTCCATCTCACCTCTCACCCCTTCCCTGTCTCACCTCTCCACCCCTTCCATCTCACCTCTCACCCTTCCCGTCTCACCTCTCCACCCTTTCCCATAACCCCTTGAATCCTTTCCCCTCTTTCCCTCACCACAACCATCACCAAATACACACCCCTCTTCCTTCCTTCCTTTACTCCTTCCTTCCCTCCCTCTCTCCTCAACACTCCCCCTCCATCCTCCAACTCCTTCAAACACACCTCTCCTTTTTCCCTTTCTCCCTCC